TATCAATGCTATCCCACCTGTACACAGGGTAGATAGGGATGGGCATCTTTGACATTAGCTACCTAAAATGAGGGAGTGATAAAGGCATGAAGTGACTGGCTTACAAGGTTTCAAGAGAGAGTGTAGTTAAAGAGTATGGGGGCGAAGAAAGAGTCCCTACTGAATAATTTTCATCTTGTCTAGATGGGTCTGGTGAAAAGAGATGGGGATAAGATTCATATGATTCAATAGTGAATGATTGTTGTCATAACTAATTGCGACTGTCACAATTGTAAAGATAGAAGTTTTGTAACAAATATAGGGGAGTGGTTAATCATGCAGTCCAGAAACAGAGGACCCTAGGACCAACAAGAGAGAAGAGCAGAAGCAGAATGCAGGACCTTATCCAGAGAAGCAGCGATGCCAGAAACGGAGGCAGAGATGGGGTCATGTAGAGGGGGAACACCTGAGGAATCTAGTTTCATGGGAAGAGAGGGACTAAGCTGGTGGCCAGGAGGCAGACATGCAGAATGTACCCTTTGAAGGTGTAAATTGTTATATATGCCTGAGTGTTTGTTTGTTTGTTTTGTTTGTTTCTTTTTAAATGCTAAAGTGAATAGAGAGAAATACTGTTAACTGATGGTACATGGAGGGGATTTATAATCATTGTAATGAAACAAAATGTATGATTTGTTGAATGTAAAACTGATGATCTGCCCTGTAAACTTTCACTTAATCCACAATTTAAAAAAAAAATTTAGAACAGAATTTCAAATTCTCATGAACGCCACAGTTCCTGGAGCAATGGAGGTTGGAGAACCCCCTGAAACTATTACCCTAAGATAATCTTTAAACCTTAAACCAAAAATATCCCCTTAAGTCATCTTAAAACCCAACAATTATTCAGCTTAGTGTCTTAGTTTAGATTCTTTAGAGAAGCGAAACTTACATATGTATATATAAAGAGAGGTTTATATCAAGGAAATGGCTCACACAGTTGTAGAGGCAAGCAACTCCCAAGTCCATGGTTCAGATTTCAGGCTGAAGCCTCTGACTCACGTAGCTACAGGGCCGATGAACCAAGATCAGCAGGTCAGACAGAATTGGGTAGGTAAGATGGCAGGCTGCTAATAACTTCCAGGATTAGCAGGTAAAAGAACAGACCACTGGCTCAAATCTAAAGAGCTGGAGGTTGAGTGACAAGCCAGATGCAATATCTAGACTGAGCAGAAAGCAAACAAGCTTTGTCCAAGTAGTCAATGTATTAGAAAAAGGCCATACCTCCAAGGAAACTTCCTTTAAGTTGATTGGCTGCTGACAGCAGATCTCATCATAAGAATTGTTGTTGTTGTTGTTGTTAGGTACCATCGAGTCAGTGCTGACTCATAGCAATGCTATGCACAACGGAATGAAGTGCTGCCCAGTCCTGGGCCAACCTCACAATCGTTACCACGCTTGAGCCCATTGATGCTGCCACTTTGCCAATCCATCTCGCTGGAGGTCTTCCTCTTTTACTTGGACCCTCCACCTTTCCAAACATGATATCCTTCTCCAGCGACTGGTTCCTCCCGACAAAATATCCGAAGTATGAGAGAGGAAGTTTGACCATCCTGGCCTCCAAGGAGCACTCTGGCAGTACTTCTCCCAACACAGATCTGTTTGTTCTTTCGGCAGCCCATGGCACTTTCAATATTCTCGTCCAACACCATAACTCAAAAGCATCAATTCATCCACAGTCTTCCTTATTCACTGTCCAGCTTTCGTGTGTATATGAGGTTATTGAAAATACCTGGCTTGGGTCAGGCATACCTTAGTCCTCAAGCTGACATCTTTGCTCTTTAATACTTTAAAAAGGTCTTGTGCAGCAGATTTGCCTAATGCAAATTCCCAATAGTTTTAAACTAAATGCCTCTAGCTAAAACAAACAAATTTAGTTAAATATTAAGCTCAGAAAAATGAATGTTCATTCTAAAATAGATCTACAATGATGGTGTGGAGAGATGGAGCAGCTGGGGACTCAGGACCCAGGGAGGAAGAGGGGCTGTGTGCTGCTGATGGGGCGGGGTGTGTGTGTGTGTGTGTGTGTGTGTAAACTGTCACATACATAATTCACAATAAAACTTAAAAATAAATAAATAAAATAGATCTACATTGAATATTTAATACTGGTGGTGGTGGTTATGTGTCATGGAGTCACCAGTAATGAGGTATCAATTATATACATATAAAATATCTTCTTAATATACTACTAGGCTATGATTAAATATTTATTAAGTACTATTATGTCATTTAGGAATCGTGGTGTGGCACTGTGGGTTAATGTGCTGAACTGCAAGGTTGGTTTGAATCGCAAGGGCGGTGGTTCAAACTCACCAGCTGCTCCTTGGAAACCCTATACAGGGTCTCTCTGAGTCAGAATTGACTTGAGTGCACTTAACAATATTCCGTCATTTAAGGAGTCCTGGTAGTGTAGTGGGTTACGAATTGGACTGCTAACTGCAAGGTCAGCAATTGGACTCTACTAGCCGCTCAGAGGGAGAAAGATGAGGCTTTCTGCTCCCATAAAGATTTAAAGCCTTGGAAAGGCTTGGACCCTATGCAGGGTCACTATATGTAGGAACCAGCTTGATGGCACACAACTACCACCACCACCATTATGTCATTTAGGCATTGGGTTGCTAACCACAAAGTCAGAAGTTCAAGCCCATCAGATGCTCTGTGTGAGAAAGTTAAGCTATCTCCTCTCATAAAGATTTGTAGTCTCAGAAACCCTAGGGAGCAGTTCTATTCTGCCCTATAGGGTTGCTATGAGTCAGAATTAACTCTATGGCAGTGGATTTGGTTTTGGTTTTATTATGTTATGGTGGCACAGGCCTACGCAGTATTTTCAGTCTTTTGTGTATTGAATTGTTATGAGTCAGAACCAACTCAACAGTTGATGGCACCTAAGAACAACATTGTGTATTCTAAGGAGCTCTGGTGGTACAGTGGTTAAGCTGTCAGCTACAAACCCATCCCGTCACTTTGTGGGAGAAAGATATGGCCGTCTGCTTTGGAAAAGACTACAGACTTGGAAACCCTATTCTACTCTGTCCTATAGGGTTGCTGTGCGTCAGAATTGACTTAATGACTATGGGTTTGGTATTTTTGGGTATTATGTGTTAATTGCTAGGATTACAAAGATCTTGATTCTGTTTTCAAGGAGTCTAGTCTAGTGGCCCAGGACACAGATAAATCAATAATTACAACACTGAGTTATTAAATGCTGCCCTGTCATAGCAGTGTATACAAAGTGTAGTTGAAAAACTGATTCAACTTAAAAGGACTGTGGAATTTCTTGATTTTCTCAAACAGCCTAAACAAACCAATTTAACAAGCAACGCTTCTATAATCTCTTAAAGAAAAAAAAAAAATTAAGCTCTTAATGGCTTCTCAGCATACCAATAATGTAGTTCCCTTAGGCTACAACCATATAAAAATCTTATGAATTTTGCACACACACACACACAAATAGACTTTCAATTTTAGAAATAAATATAAAAAGGTTCTTTGGGAATAGCTGGGATTTTTATAACATAAAATTATATAACCTACCCAGAGGTGTATCTGAGAAATGACTCTGAGCAGTTTCTCTGAACCATTGCAGTTTCCATTGTCAGCAGTGAGTGATCATTCGGCAAGTTAAAACGAATACTTTCATATTTGAGAGCCTTCATGAGTCAAGGCAAGGAGACCTGGTAGTGTAGTGGGTTACAAGTTGGGCTGCTAACTACAGGGTCAGCAGTTTGAATCTACCAGCTGCTCCAAGGAAAAAATGAGGCTTTCTGTTCACATAAAGATTTACAGCCTCAGAAACCCTATACAGTTCCAACACTGTGAGTTGGAACTGACTCCGCAGCACACAACCACCACAACCATGAGTCAAGGCAGACTTTGTGATCTTGCTCTGCTGAGTGTAGAAGCAGAAGAAACTGAAAAAGAAAAAAAAGACATTGAGCTCATCATAGACCAGTTTCCATCAGAGCAGTTTCATCAGGATGGTACAGTTGTAATATTCAAGTACAATCATCGCTCAGTATTTGCAGGAATTGCTTCCAGGACCCTCAAATCCAGAGATGCTCAAGTCCCTAAAGTCCCTTATATAAAATGGGGTAATAGTTGCCTGTAATCTACACACATCCTCCCATATACTTTAAATTATCTCTAGATTACTTGTAATACCTAATACAATGTAAGTAATATGTAAATAGCACTTTACACTCTTAGCCTTGGAGGGATTGCTTTAACAAATTAATTGCTGCCCCCACCCTTACACACACCATTATTTTCTACCTGAAATTGGTTGAATCTGGATATAGAACCTGCGGATTCAGAGGGCCATATGTCTTAAGTAAAAGATTAATGAGCTTTTACTGAACACATTAGGAGCTGATATTCTGGTAAAGTTATCTAAAAGGTAGTCAGATATTTGGACAGGGGTGTCATTTCAGTGCTTGCCATGAGTGCTGTTTCTCACAGATATACCTAAGAACCTACCCTCTCTGTGTATTTTATGTAAATAGATCAGGAGTACTTTGTGAGGAATTTGTACATTTCATGAATAAGTTAACTGCAATTGTGACAAACTACAATGATATGGCAGAAAAGGTAAATAGTACAATATAGAGCAGTTTAGTGCATGATCTTGAAAACAAGGCAGTCTTGGACTCAAATCTTGCCCCTGTAATTTACTACCTATGTGTAGTAGCAGGCAAGTTAATTTGTTTCTCCTAGCCTCAGTTTCTTCTTCTTTAAAATGAGATTAGTAATGATTGCCTTAGTAGGGTTTTTGTAAAGGATACATGAGATCATGTGTGAAAATTACCTGAGACTCATAGCCAGTACTCATTGGTTGGTGGCTGTTATAATTACTATCCCTCATCATTACTATGATGATATGGATGATGAGGTTGTACTGTCAGTTTCATTGTTGTTGTTTTATAGTATTTTGAGAAGATTAGTAATTAACTTTCTTCTTCTAGACTCCTCCAAAAGATGGCTTTGTAGTTGCTGATGTTCAGCCAGTTGCAAGCAGTTCTCCAGCGAAAAAGCCGTTTCTTTCATCAACTTTTAGGTCTTCTTCCTCTCTAAGAAAGAAGAATAATGGTGGGGAGAAAGAGCTCCCTCCATGGAGATCCTCTGACAAGCATCCTACTGATATCATTCGTTTCAATTACCTAGACAACTGTGACCCCGTCGAGCAAGCCTGGCAGGGGTAAGAAACTCCATGCCCTTCTCAACTTCTTTGCTTTCAGAAACTGTTTATTGGCACTTCCGTATATGAAAAGATGAAAATAGAACTTACCATGAAATACAAAAGCTTTTCCATATGTGGAGGCAAAAGTAACTGAAATATCAAATTTACGATTATTAGTAAATCCGCCCTGCTCATTAGAATTCCTTGAATTTTATAGCTATAATGATAGAATAGCATCTTTTAATATTTTAATATCTCCAATTCCAATCCAACACCACAAGATTTATTCTAGGTTTGCCCCTTTCCATTTTTGTACCTCTCTTCAACAGTGAGAAACCTGGCCCACAGTATATTTACCTATATATTATATTGTTGTTAAGTACTGTTGGGTTGGTTCCTACACATAGCGACCTTTATAGGGTTTCCAAGGAGCAGCTGGTAGGTTTGTACCACCATCCTTGAGATTCAAACCAACCTTGCGGTCCAGTGCTTTATCCTACAGTGCCACACCAGGACTCATAATTATATTGTTGTTGTTGTTAAGTGCCGATTCATAGCGACCCTGTATAGGGCTTCTAAGGAGTGACTAGTGGATTTGAACTGCCATCTTGCAGTTCAAATCAGCCTTGCAGTCTAATGTTTATCTTACAGCGTCACACCAGAACTCCGTATTATATTTTACATATACTTAATACATGAGTGAACTTCAAAACATTTGTGGGATTTCCATTTTTTCATCAAACTTTGTTTTTTAACTTTTTGTTGTGAAATGGGTAAAGGTTTACAGAGCAGATCATCAGTTTTACATCCTATACTTCGTTTCATTTCAATGATTGCAATCCCTTCCATGTAACATCACTTATCTCCCTCCCTCCCTGTGTTTCCTGTCTTCATTCCTCCTCCTTTTCCAACCCTTTTGAACTTTGTTCTTGGGTGAATGTTGCTCTTTTGATCACAAATTGTTGATTATTCTAGGATGTTACAGTTCCTCTTATAGACCTGTCTATTGTTTAGCTGAAAAACCAGGACCTGAGGAGTGACTAACGACCATAGTCTCTCCACGATTCTCTGTCTGACCAGTAAACCTGGTATTTTGTATGATTTTGAGTTTTGTTCTACATTTTTTTCCCATTCTATGCAAGACCTTCTAAAGTAATCCCTTCCAAAGCAGTTGGTAGTAGTAGCTGGGCACCATCTATAGTTCTTCTGGTCTTGGGGTCATGAAGACAGATGTTCCAATGGTTCATTAGTCCATTGGACTAATTATTTCCATGTGACTTTGATTTTCATTACATTTCTTTTCTCAGGACTGGGAGAGAACAATAATTGCACCTTTAATGGCTGCTTATGAGCTTTGAAGACCCTAGTTGCTACTCACCAAAGTAGGATGTATAACATTGTCTTTGTGGATTATGTTAGACCAATTGACCTTGTTGCCTCATGAGACTAGGTTTCTGAGCCCCAAGGCTCAGTGACTCATTACTGAAGGAGTTTATGTCAAAGAGTTTTCATAATTTTGCCCAGTGCTGTCTCTGTCTGCTCCATCACATTCATGGATCTATTTTCAACAAAGGCAAATCTCCATGTATAAATATACTGTCAAACATATATATTTGTGGGTTATCTCTAGTCTTTCTCCTGTTCAACCTGTGTATGGATCCCTGCATCTACCCCTTGTTGTTGTTGTTGTTATTGTTAAATGCCGTCGAGTTGTTTCCGACCCATGGCGACCCTGTGTAGAGTTTCCAAGGAGCAGCTGGTGAGCTTGAACCACCGACCTTGCAGTTCAAACTGGCTTTGCAGTCTGGCGCATTAACCCACAGCGCCACACCAGGACTGCATCTACCCCTAGATCACCATTATTGCAGGGTTGTTTCCACAAAAATTTTGAATGTCCGCTAGTATATTTACTTATTTGCTCAATCCTAGAATATAAAGAATCCTGATGTGGTGTTGTAGGATAAACACTGACTGGACTGCTAATAGCAAGGTTGGTAGTTCAAACCCACCAGTGGTTCCTCGAAAACCCTATACAGGATTGCTATGAGTAGGACCACCTCTTGTCTGTCAATTTGTTGTACTGTGGTGGCTTACATGTTGCTATGATTCTGGAAGCCATGCCAAGGGTATTTTAAATGCCAGCAGTGTACACCTATGGTGGACAGGTTTCAGCTGTGCTTCCAGATGAAGACAGACTAGGAAGTAAGAGAGATACTTACTTACTTACTACTTCTGAATAGTTAGTCACTGAAAACCTTATGAATATCAGTGGAACATTGTCAGGAACAGAGTATTGAATATTGAAACGTTATGAAGAGCACCAGAATATTGTCAGATATAGTCCCAGAAGATGAGCTCCTCAGATTGAACGGCTCCTCAAAATATGACTGGGGAAGAGCTGCCTCCTTAAAGTAGAGTTGACCATGATGATGCAAATGGGGTAAAGCCTTCGGGACCTTCATTTGCTGATGGGGCACAACTCATAATGAAGAGACACAGCTGTAAACATCCAGTAATAATTGGAACATGGAATGTAAGAAGTATGAATCTAGGAAAATTGGAAAATGTCAAAAATGAAATGAAACACATAAACATTGATATCCTAGGCATTAGTGAGTTGAAATGGACTGGAATTGGCTATTCTGAATCTGACAATCACATGGTTTTCTATGCCAGGAATGACAAATTGAAGAGGAATGGTGTCTCATTGGTCATCAAAAAGGACACATCAAAATTTGTCTTGAAATATAATATCCGTACCCTACAAGGAATACTAGTTAATACAGTCCAGTTAGTACCACCATTATTAAAATTTACATACCTACCACCTAAGCCACTGGTTATGAAATTGAAGAATTCTACCAACTTCTTCAGTCTGAAATTGATCAAACTTGCAATCAAGATGTATTGAAAATTACTGGTGATTGGAATGCAAAAGTTGGAAACAAAGAGGAAAGATCAGTAGTTAGAAAATATGACCTTGGTGATAGAAATGATGCAGAAGATTCCATGATAGAATTTTGCAAGATAAATGACTTCTTCATTGCAAATACCTTTTTAAACAACATAAAAGACAACTATACACATGGACCTCACCAGATGGAATACACAGAAATCAAATTGATTTCCGTGGAAAGAAATGGTAGAAAATAGCAATGCTGTATGGTTTTCTAAGGAGTGCCTGGTGTGTTTCAACCACCAACCTTGTGGTTCAAACCGACTTTGGGGCCCAGTGCTCTATTCCACAGTACCACACCAGGACTCTGTAGTTTTAGTACATGGTTCTAAAATTCAGTATGTTATGTTACATGGTTCTAAAATTAAAACTACTAAAAGATATATTTGGAGAAGTATCACTTTCCCTAATTTCTTTCAGCTCACTCACACTTCTCCCCTCATCTTTCCCATCATATTCCCAAATAATATTTTTGGTTTATTTTTCCAGTGTAGCTTTTTGAACAAAGTTACATTGAGATACCATTTTTAAGTTATCTGATTGGTTAAAAAAAAGTTTAAAGATAAACAATATATTCTTTTGGCAAGACTGTGTGGAAACAGGCACATTCATGCACTGCTGGTAGGAATACAAATTGGCAGAAACCTTATGGTTGGGAACTTGGCAACGTCTAATAAAAATCCATATGTGTTTACCTCTTGACTCAGGAATCCTACTCTGGGAATCAACCTTAAACATACCAAATATATATCTGCAAGAATATATTTATTGAACTATTGTTTATGATTTCAAAATACTGAAAGCCATTGTAAGTGCTCATATATAGAAGAGTTGTACATACACAAGATAGAGTACTAGGCAGCTGTAAAAAATGAAGGAGGCAGATCTGAATGAACTGTTTAATTGTTCCAGGGTACATTATTAAGTGAAGAAAATAAATTTCAAAAGAGGATCTCCTGTAGTATAGAAATTAAGAGGAAAATTTAAAATATGTATGTATCTGATCATTTATTCAAACACACATATGCACATGAAGGATAAAACAGAAGTTAATATAACACACTTTGAAATATTTAATAATGATGTGTTTGTGAGTGGGTGTATGTCTGATGTATGTCTCTACAGCTGTAGTGTGTGTGTGGTGTGATTGTGTGTATATTGTGTGTCTCTGTGTCCATGATGTGTGTTGTGTTGTGTGTGAGATATAGGTGCATGTGTGTATGGTGTGTGTCTGTGGGGTTTTGTGTGTGTTTGTGTGTGTGATGTATGTCTCTGTGTCTGTAGTATGCAGTGTGTGTCTCTGTGTCCTCAGTGTGTGTTGTATATTGCATTTATGGGTGGCTATGTAGTGTTTGTGTGAGAGAGTGGGCGTTTATGTGTTTGGTGTGTGTCTCTAAGCCTGTGTGAACAACACAACACACAAAACACAACACGTATCTAGGGCACATGCACACACCATACACCATGGACACAGAAACAAACACCACACGTGCAGAGGGGACACAGACACACATCACACATGATGTCATACCACACACACATCAAGGACACAGAGATACACACCATACAAACAACTCATGCACAACACAACACACAGGGACACAGAGAAACATACCATAAACACACACACAGACTCATACTGCACACATACACACTCACAAGCACACACACACATATTTCCCATGGATACAGAGACACACACCACACACACACATTTCAAAACTTGTGAGATGCAGCTAAACTGATGTTGTATAGCTTATTAGCAAATTTAAATATTTTAAATAAAGAAAGTCTAAAAATCTGACCTAAAAATCCATCTAAAGAAGCTAAAAAAAGAGGTCAAGGTAAACTTAACATAAAAAGAAAGAAAGAATGAAGGTCAGTAATTAATAAAATAGAAAACAAAACAAAGCAATGGACAAAATTAATAAACCAAAAGTTGGTTCTTTGAAAATATATGCAATATGCATAAACTTCTAGCTAGACCAATCAAGAAAACAAGAGCCAGAATACAAATCACCAATACCTGGATGAAATAAAGGATATAACTACTGATTTCATT